AAGCCAACCAGGCTTCCACATATTTATATCTGGAAAGTGATCAATCACAGTTTCTTGCAATGTGATAGCCTTAGATATATCAGAAGGATCCCAGAATGTCTTAAATCTGACACTGTATGCACCTCCAAGAGAGCAGAGCACATCATATCTTCTTGGCTCAGTGATGAAGGGGATCTGTAATGCCTTCTCTTTAGTGGATATTGCTTGGTCTATGATATGTTTCTTTTTATCATGCTCAAACTGAGTCATGTATGCAGCACCCAGATTATCTAAGTAAAGTGGCCTATCTAGATGACTGGCTGGTATTAGATCAGCAGCTTCCCGAAGGGCAAGGATAGCATGTTCAATATCTGGTTGCTCCCTCAGAAGGCGATAGCGGGCACTGTAAGCATTCCCTAAATTGTGCAAGCTGTGATATCTGTCATATGTAGATTCTGAGGCTTCCAACAGCAAGGTGATAGCCTCTTCAATGTCTGAGAGTGCATGTAACTGAAGGAACTGAGCCTGATAGGCATATGCTAGGTTGACAATAATGTCTACTCTAAGAGTTGATGATGTGCAGAGCTCAACCAATTTCTTGAACACTGGGATAGCCATCACAATATATGCTAAATCTCCCTCAAGGTTGTAGAGTTTCAAGAATATTTTACTCAGAAACCAAAGGTGAACATCATACAGAGTTGTGATGTCCAAAGTTCCTTGAAGTGCATTCACAAGTTCATTGATATTTAACCATTTGTGCTGTGGTGCAGCATCCACCATTGAGGCAAGAACAATGTCTGTCAAGCATCCAAACCTGTCTGGATACTTCACAGAGAGTGCCTTCTGACAGGCTTTGATAACTTCCAGCCCATGCATTTGATTGTGAGTACTCTCAAACAGTTCTTGATATGCCTCAGCAAGGGTTTTCCACAAAGCATAGAGATGAATATACCCTTTGGGAGCAATTGAGATGCCTTTTTCTAATGACTCAATTGCATCTTGGAGGTCAGGAAGCATGTGACTGGTCAAATAACACTGACAATATGCACCACCAAGGTTGGTCAGATAGCCAAATTCCTGTGAGGATATCTCAATGGCCTCTTTGAGTGAAGCAATGACTTTGTCTATGTCTGATAAAGTCTTTGAGTTGTCAAAACAGGACTGGTAAGAAGTAGCCAAGCTTGCCAGAACAGCTGGCCTACTTCCATCATCTATGGGAGTAGAATTCACTCCCTGCTGCTTTAAAAAACAAGACTTTTCAAGGTCAGACCTTTCATTTGACTCCTTGTATCTGAGATGGTATCCATGTCCTAAACTCATGTGACATGCAGCAGGAACCTCAGTTTGACCAAACAGGACAATGGCATCTGTGTAGAGCCTGATGCCTTTATTGAGGGTTTGAATATCCCTGGTCATCTCAAACTCCCCAATGCTACAATAGGCAGCACCACACACTGAGTGAGCTCTGGCATTGTCTGTCTGACCTATTCCAGAAGCATAGACCAGACAAGAACTACATTGTGCCCATATTGAAGCAATTGGGCTCTGCTTTAGCCAAGCAATAGCTCTTGAGGTGAAGAACTCAATATCTGAGACAAGTTGGCCTGCAACAAATGGTGCCAGGGCAGGAGAAGCAATAGATAACATGCTCAATGTGATGGTCCAAACTATTGAAGTCCTCAGAATCAACCAGAGTACTTGTGTACATTACTCACAGTTGACTTGGAAATCCATGCTTAGATGAGAAAGCTGTGGATCTTCCTCGAGGTGCTGTTTTGTTCTGCATGTTGCTTAATACATCTTTCGGTGATCAACAATGGCTGGGCCTACCTTCTCAATATCTGGCATGCTGCTACTATGGTTCCCGGGTCTGGAGTGTTCGTCATCGTTGCCGGTGGAGTAGCGCGACGAGTGAGGGTTCGGGAAGCGCAATCCGACTAACCCAGTCGCTCATATATACGAGGATCTTGTGTGGTGGTGTTTGCCTGTCAATAGCGTCAGCAGACGAACGGAATTTCCAAGTGTCCGGACACCTGACTGCACGCGGCGAGACCCCAATGATGCCGCCTGTCAAATACGCATGAACTGACCGACAGCATTGCCGCGCGAGCGGCGGCCAGTCGTGCGTTCCACCAACGCAACACAGTCTGTGCGCGAACGCATTCCGGACGCTGCTACGAAAGACAAGCACGAAGCTCGGTTACTGCACGGCACGCAGTCGTAAGAACGAGCGCGGGCTGGGAACGAGCTCGACGGTGCGCGGATAGACGGGGATGGCTTCGACATCAAGAACCTTACCTTCCAAGTGCCGTCACGGTGGTTCAGCGTCAAGAATCGGACCCTGCCCATTGTACACCGACAGGTCGTAGTTTGCACCGCGAATGACGGGTGTACCGAAGATGCTCCTGCGCACCAGCATGTCACTGAAATCATCTGAACGCCGACTGCAGTCAACAATGGATGACCAAGAGTCGGTAAGAACACGGCGTACATATCCATCGATGCTGCGTTGCCGGCGCGCGATCTGGCCGCAGAACAGCTGTCGTGTGGTTCAAACCGTGCTGTGCGCCATGACCGGCAGTTCCGATTGGGCGAGTAATCGCACGTGTGGCGCCGACTAGACAGAAGTTAAGACACACGACAGCCCGGCCAAGACAGCTGTCGCTGCAGCGCGTCGTCCAATCAAATTCGAAGACGACTCACAACAGTCTTCGTCGAGCGCCAGAGGTCGGGTGTCGTGGTCGGATAACGAAGGCTGCCCGTCTGGTATCTTGACATTCGTCGGGAGATGCAGCAAGACGAGTTCCGGTCGAGTAAACCGTATCTGCCACGCATACAGCGCATGAGTAGCAGGCTACCATACAGAGGCACACATACGACGAGCATTGGGCTACTGCGCGTAGAATGGGCAGCGCCGGATACTTCGTGCGCCACGCCCTGGTAGACGAGACTCTTTGGTGGTGACCTTTGACAATGATGTCAGCGGCTTTGAGAGAAGACCACTTAGTGCAACGACATCACCTCGGTAGTTTAGCAGTTCAGTAGGTCGATTAGGCGTCAGGAGACCCCGCGGTCGCGGCTCGCCCGTCCCTCAGCGCCGCGCTATTTCCCGTGCTATCACGAAGATGGTCGCGCCGCTCGTCCCCTGCAGTTGGGCCCTTCCTACCGCTTCCTCCGAGCTGCATATCGACATGGAGTGGTGTCCTAGGTCGTCATCTAGCGGCCGGTTGCGACGTATACGGCGCGACCCTTGGCGGTCGTTGGAGACGCCGCACAAATATGCAAACATACGCCCGATCGGAGGGACGTTCACAAGATGGCACCTACATACATACATCGGTGTGTCAATGACAGCACGCTGCGGAGCGAGAGAAAACCACGCGCCTCTTCGTAGGTCCTCAGTCATCCAGCGCGCGAGCTCCTCCCGGGCGACGGTGTCGTTTTGACCATCCATCGCGTGCTGGTACGAGGGCGACGCGGCACAATGTGTTCTACTGGCCCAGTGAGCGAAAGACGCTGACGGACGCAATGAGAATTACCTTGCGACTGCAAGGTTTCTGCCCGGCCAGAATTTGGGCGTGAGAATTTCCGGTTTTGTTGGCCTTGTTTGTCCCCTTCCAAAAACGACAGTGCGCTCGAAGTCATCATGATGGCAGCGACCTCCTCGCGCGGTCAGTCTCTCCAGTACTTACTGCTGTGGCCTGCCCCACCTCCATGGCAGCTTTCGAGTCTATAGGACTGGACATTCCCAGGCTATACCGGCATATTCATGTATAGAATACCTGTAGTTAGCGCAAAAGGGTGTATACATGAAAGGCCTGTACTTACCGAGGACTGCTCGCTCATGTATGAGCGAGGCGCCGTCATGTATGAACGAGGCGCCGTCGGTCGCTACCCGATATAGCAGCGGCGCCGGGGTAGCCCGGTCCCTTCGCCCGCGGCGGGGCAGCACCACTGGCGCGCGATGCAAGCTGCCCGATATGGATGAACATCGGGGTCAGTGGCATCTGAGATCAGGTACATACGATCCCGCCCTGCCTGCTACGTGGCGTCAGTTTCGGCCATGCCCGGGAGCCCGCAACGAGCCGAGCGAGCGGTGAGCGCTTCCGCTTGCCGTTTGCGACCTCCACCAGCCTCCACTCCACCGTCCCGCATCGGTCACCGACGTTGTTAGAGAACAGCGCGCATGGCAACAGCGAGCATGCAGAGATTGGCCCTGCATGCAGATATAGCCGACGCTAGCAACGAGGTGAGTGCAGACACACAGGAGCGAGCGAGCTGACCTTGTTTACAGGGCGGCGACGTGGAGATAACGCGCGTGTCGACCGCGAGGGCGTAGGGCTTATGCCTCGCATGCAAACGCAGCCCACGGACGGATCACATGGACGCGAGGGCAGGCGAGCGAGCAGGCTGAGGGGCGGGTAGGCCGACTGGCGGGCAGGCCGACGGGCATGCAGGCCGACGGGCGGGCCGGCAGACGGACAAGCGAGCGGACGGGTGGGCAAGCGGATGGATAGGAGAGCGAGCAGACGGGAAAGTGAGTAGGCGACAGCACACGCCCACCGCGAGCGTGCTAGGCGAATGCCCAGCACGCAGACACAGCCGACGGATGCACACGCAGGCGGGAAAACGGGTTCATGGGCAGGCGAGCGGGCGGACGAGCGGGAGGGGCAGGCGGACGAGCGGGAGAGCGAACGGGCGGGAGAGCGAACGGGCGGGAGGGCGGACGGGCGGGAGGGCGGACGGGCGGACGGGCGGACGGGCGGACGTGCGGACAAGTGGGCGAGCTGCGAGCAGGCAAGGAGATGAGCAAACAAGGAGACGAGTGGGTGGGCGAGTAGAAGAGAAGGTGAGCGGGAAAGTGGGTGGGTGGGCGAGTGAGAGGGCAGGCGGGCCAGAGGGAAAGCGAGCGAGAGGGAAAGCGAGTGAGAGGGAAAGCGAGTGAGAGGGAAAGCGAGTGAGAGGGAAAGCGAGTGAGAGGGAAAGCGGCGGGCGGGCCGCGGGCACAGAGTGCGGATGAGCATTACACGCACGGCGACCGCGAGCGTGCAGGGCGAATGCCCAGCACGCAAGCACGGCCGACGAACAGAAGGCGGGCGCGTGAGTGAACAGCGAGTGAGCGCGACGGTGGGCAGGGCCGGGGCACGCAACACACGCCAACCGTGAGTGCGCCAGGCGACTGCCCTACCGCCCCTGCACGTAGACACGGCCAAAATGTTAGTAAATAGAGACATTGTAATGGTAGTAATAACATGTTCTATGCATATACAGCAGCCATCGCGGCCAATCCACCCGAAGTAGACGATTCATGGCTCGCAACTCAGAGAACCACTACATAGTGTAGAAAGACATCCCTACCGAATACAAGAACAGCTTTTGTGTTGTACTGCACCTCCATATTTGTATTCCTCCGGTATATGTAACTAGGCATGTATCTAATCCCTATTGTAGCATAAAAGACATGCATACATAGTGCAAAAACGACCCGAACACGAGTCGGCGATATGTTGCAGCTCTCAGTGGGACCTTTAAACGTGTTCTGATTGGCCAGGAACAGCCCGACGACATCGGGGTTGCCCAATCTGGTGAGGCAACAATTACAAATAGACGCAAATGTTGGTTTTACGGGGGCGCCCACAAAGCTCACTCACTGCGTCCACAGCTCCTCCTCTACCCACCCCAGACCAGCCCTCGGACTAGCAAAAACAGCGGCACATTGACCAGCACGAACGGCGCGTCCGCAGGTACAAATGGGCCATGTCAGCAGGGATGAATAGGGCCGTGTCAGTGGGTACTACCAGTGGGTACGAACGGCGGCAGGTCAACAAACATGAATGGTGCGTCGGTGGGTACGAACGGCAGCACGTCGATCAGTAGAGTCGCCGCGGGCTACACGGGCGGTGCCATGCGTGCCGCGATCATCGACGGCGTCGACTGCAGCTCGTACGTCCCTTCCTCCTCTTCCCAAACATTGCCGCTAACATGTCGATTTGTCGCAAGGATGACCATCTCAGCCTCCATGGGAGGCTGCGTGCGTATTGCAGCTGGTTCCTCCAGAGCCTGCAAGCCATTGTACACGTCCGTGAGTCCGAGGTCGGCGGGTGCAGCGCGGATTCTGTCGAACATGGCCTGCGTCGGCGCGGGCTCGGTGGAGGTGAATGAGGCTTACCCGCCATCACAGCTGTGGTACGTAACGCTCGCCATCCAAAATCTCCAGCTCTTTGCCATCCCGCGCACGGAGTCGCTCGCCTGCGCGAGCGCGACCTGACCTCTGCACGGCTCTATAGTATATACGTTCTTCACGAGCCCATGACTGCTGCACGACCTCACCAACATGCACGCCCTCGTGCTCACCACGGGTATGCTCGGCTGCAGGACACCGCAGATTCTTGAGAGTGTCGTGGATGTCGTGGAGGAGCGCAAGCGTGGGACGGAGCATATGGAGGATGTTGAGCTTGCGGGGATGCTCGCGAGGGATTTTTTGGTGCCCATCCTGGAGCACAGCACACTGTACATCATTGATACTTATACTAATATATATTGTTTCTACTATTGCGCTGTTTGTTAGGGTGTGACGAATTGTCAGGGCCTGAAACATACCAAACTGTAATCGTGAGGGCTGCCGCTTTATGACTCGCCTTCGCACAACACTGGAATTAGTAAATAGCATTGCAAAGAACAAAAGTTAATCTAGTGTTTGTCACAGAGCGCAACATACAGCGTGTATGTCATGGAGCACGACATACACACTATATACGGCACCATGCCTAGCCCTAGAACATGTCAGATCTCACTGATCGTACATCACGATCGTTTTCGCCCGATGGCGCGAAGAGCGCGCGACAGCACCTATTTTGGGTAGGCGGCGGCGGCGCCGCGAGCTGTCCCCGGCACCGGGTGACCTAAGCTGTCCCCAAAGGGCAGCTGCCTCTTTGGGTAGTGAGCACGGCGCCTCGCTTATACATGAGCGAGTGGCGGCTCATGTATGAGGAGCAGCCCCCGGTAAGTACAGGCCTTTCATGTATACACCCTTTTGCGCTAACTACAGGTATTCTATACATAGGCCTGCCAGCACCTGGTGACATTCCCTGTCATCCTTGTGGCCACCCACCAGCCTCTACGGGGTATGAGACGGCCATCGATTCGTACCAACAAACTGACGCGACCCCGGCGGCACAACAGCTGTTCGCCGTTCCGCTCAGACAACATCACGGAGCTCATCTGCGAGACGACTGCTGCACAGGTAGAGTTGCATGAAGCGTACTGCAGCAAGGTGAGGGTTTTGATGGCTTCACAGGGACACTTCTCAGTACGCATGCTTACATGTCGCTCATGTTCCAGCAAAAGACTTCATTAGAGCGCTGCTAAACCCTGACCCCCACAAGCACAGCCTTTCCAGTTTCTGCAGGTTTCTTAACCCTCGCGCGCCGTGGAACACCGCAATCAACGGGACGATCGTCGATCGCCCTGCAGCGCCTCAGCACGCCCGAAGAGCCGGAGGAGCACGCTATTTGACAGCGATGACAAGGACGTCGCTGAGAGTCCCGGGAAGAGCAGTGGGCAGCACCTCGAGCTTCCAGAGGAGAACGAGCATGTGTGGTCACCCCGCAAGCTAATGGAGACAAGCCGCCGGCGGTCATGGATGCGATGGCGTATGTAGGTGCAACGAGCCCGCCGCCCGCGCGGTCGACGCCCGAGAACCCAAAGGAGCGGAAGTTCAAGAGCTGCGCGCAGGCGCCGCATGCCGGGTACATACTCCGGCACGAGCAGGACGAGGGCGCGCGCGAGTCTCTCGAGGTGCAGGTCCCGCAAGAGGTTCACGAGTACGCCGTATCATACATATCGGGCTCACGACGCGAACCTCGATCGTGACCGCGCCCACGCTCGCACCACTCGTTCTGTAGGCGTCGTTTGCATGCAATCGGTAGTAGACTAAGTACCCACGCAAACCGGGGGATCAGGATGTCGGTGAGTGCAACCCTACTTATTTGACCATATGCATGTGATCTGTATGACGTGCGGTCGTAGCTGGCACAGCGGGCTCCTCCATGTAACACCAACCATGTGCTTCCAACCAGAAAGATATTTGCAATGACGAGGTTCGCAATTACAACTTGCGTCTCGGACGCAACTTCGACTAAAACATGCCCGCAATGAGTGACTGTCCATTGCACCTGGCAGTGGCAATGATTGCATCCTCAACCCGCAGAGAGCACGTTCATGTTTATCAATATATCTTGCTTCCTAGCGACATTCTGAGGCTCGGAAAACACTGCCCCGCGCGCAGCATTGGCAACTACCACCTAAGCACCCGGGCCCGTCTGAGAACTTGAAGACAATGGCTCGACGCTATCTTGCGGAAGACCATAAGTATAACCGCAATGTTATTTAATAAGTCTCAAGTCGCAAGGTCCCCAGCCGGCGCACCCGCCGGCGCCAATCGAGTAAATGAATCAGGTGACGCAGCAGTGCCATCGTAGCACCGTCTGGCCCGGGGAGCACGATGCCTTTCCGTCCGTCAGCGCATGTAGAGAAAGACAGGATGCGTGAGCCTACCCGTGCAACGTGGCACGACCGAGATGGTTCAAACACGAGATTGAGCCCCGTTCGCAACGGAGACGTTTTCCAGGCGTAGTACTACTATATGCGCGGTAAGCTAGCCCGAACACGACTGTACGAGGTTAACTGTCGTTGCCACGTACCACACGCCGCCCTTCGATACGGATTTTACTTATATGCGTCTCACATTGCGCAACGTCTTTCGTACTTCATCGCTGGGAATCTTGCGTATTAAGTGCGAGGGTGGCAAGGCGAGAACGGAATGAGAGACGGTTCAAGGCAAACCGCCACGACGCGCTTCCGGAGGCACGTGTTCAACGCGGTTGTGGCTGCGCTCCTCTTGTGTCCGTGTGTCCGACACCAGCGACGAGATTCAAACTGCTGAACGACACCCTCTTCTGTGCAGAGGACTCACTGATGTTTCTGCTCAGACCCGTTTTGACTGCAAACATTTTGCTGCCCCGCTGAACAGGCTTCGTCCCCATCCCAACCCGTCTCCGAGTCCCTCGAGCTAGCATGCCATGCCTAGCCGATACCGAGCGACATGATATGTATGATTGCTAACCGCCTAAATCCTCGCTCTCTCCGCCCCCTGTGTACTGCAGTACCAGTATGTACACCACTGATAATCAGGCTCGCTATAACGCTATAGGTAGCTTCAACTTGCTTCTGTCTGCGACTTGGGGCCTCTCCGCCTCCTAGGATCGTACGGTGCGTGTCAGCAATCCGGATTCTACATCCTTCTGCAGAAACTGAGCTGCATTTGCGATATGCTATGAGCCCGTCGAGGCCGCGTCGTAGTGGCATCTACTCGTGCGCACTTCCCCAATCAAGCAGCAGCCTGCCTTACGTACGCTTCCCGCTTTCACTGCAAACAGCATCATCTCCTCTACATCGACCACGGTACACATTCACCTCTCTCAGGCTACGACCGACCTGCCCCGTTCGCAATCTCCGCGCCTACACTGCAGCGGAAGTCAACCTACGCCCAAGAGCACACCCCACCCTCCCCGAATGGCCGACCGTCCGCTCCGAACTTGAACACGGCCTCATCGATTGCGAAAGAGAGCCCTCGAACCGACTCATATCCATATAGTCCTCACACTCCACACTCCTCCGAGTCCGAGTCCGAGTCCGCAAAGAACGGCCCTCCGAATCCAAAAGCCACCCAGCGTCGCCGACCGCCCAAGTCTCCCGCGCCCGTCCCAGGCCCAGCGGGCCCCTCGCCCGAACAGCGACCCGGACAGGGCCGGTCCTCGTCCCCCATCTCCGCCGCGCCCCCGCCATCCACCCTTCGTCGCGCCTTCGCCTCCCTCCGTCCTCCGCCCGTCACCCCAGCCACCCTCCGCCCCGTCGTCCACCCTCCCAGACGACTCGGCCCCAGAACTCCCCACGTCCAGCACCCCACGTCCGTCCAAGACCCCAACCCCATCCCCATCCCCATCCCCAACACCGAGCTTCCCATGTCTCGACATTCCGAGCTACTACGACCACACCACACCACACCACAGGCCCGCATACGGAACTGAGACAGGGACCGAGACCGAGACCGAGACCGACACGCAGGACAAGGACCCGGATGCACGCACGCATGCACTCGCGCCTGAGGGACGGGGGACGGGGTCGGCTTCGCTACCGCCGCTTTGCTCTGGGGCCGCAGGGTCCCCTACTAAGTATTAGTACCTTGACCTACATGTGTGCGTTCTCTCACCGAAGACCGGCC